CTTTTTTCTTACTCTTTTCACACTCTGATACTGTAACTTCAAAAGCCTGTACCTGTAGAGATTTTATTATCATTTAAATGTGTGGATCCTCTTTGAAATATTTTTTCAATGGTTCCTTTGAGCAGAGTCTGGGCCACGCTTCCACACTTTGTTCTTTCACTTACGTTATTATAAGGATCAAGGGAAAAACATACCCTAATGATTATAAAAAGGAAGAGGTCTTTCAGAAACAATCACATTCATTTTGTTGGTTTTTTTTTTTTTTTTGTATAAGCAAAACTTTTCTTTAACTTTCTTTAACTTTTACTTATTCAACTGCATTATATTTTGCATAAAGAATTGGCAGTCTTCAAACCAGAAGAAAAATTTTTCTCACATTTCAAGAGGGATTATAGAGAAAATATTAGCCAGCTTTTAGTTCACTGAATAAAAGAGCAATATTATTTACTTCTCTGTACAGTTCAAAGAAATTCTGAAACTTCTCTATTCTCTATAAATAGTAACTACCTCAAGGTGACCTTTCCGACTTGAGCAATGGTGTCCTGGCTGTTGAGTCAGTTGTCTGACACATGCCAAGCTCTCACTTCATTCTGTGATATGTGGATTACAGTTCTGATGTTTAATACCAAAACCAACAAAAACAGAAACGTTTCCTGTGATTCAAGTAAGTACAAACAGCACCTTTCAAGACAGTGGCCCCTAATTTGATATCAACTTTCCCCTTTCAGGTAACCAAAAGTGAAAACAGACAGAAGAGGATTTTCAGAAAAATGAAGTCCTATGTTCCTCGAACTGATGTACATGTTAATTCAAGAAAGCCTAGGTTTGGAAAGCATTGCTCTGGCAGGGCCAGGTGTAGGACATTCTTAAATCTATATGTTGAATTTTAAATTCTAGGGTGCAATTAATGATCTTGAAAGAGTTTTGGACACCCATTGGAAGGTTGAGAGGAGAAAGGGGTCCAGTAACCGAGCAAAGACAGAGGCCATGGAAGGAACAGAATAGTCTGCTGCATCCATTTCCTTAAAAGGTCTTCACTCATTCTTTCCCAAGCGTAATGAAACCACAAGGTCCAAAGGCATCAGTTACTCATTGAAATGTTTATGAGAAAGTCATTTTTCAAGTGATCACTGAATTTTAACAACCTACTGCCCAGCAGTGGAAGGGTAGGAGAGGTGGCATCACAGTGAAGAAGAAAACAGGTATCATTCCTATTGAATGTAACATATTTCACAATAGATGGGTTTTCCTTAAGTTCCTTTGTGGGACTGAAGAATACACTGGTAAAACTCCCTAAATGTGAGGAGTAGATCCAGGAATCTTTACTAACAAGGTCCCTGGGATACAAGCTTATCTGAAATCCCCAGGAGCCCAGCACTTAGTGGGTGCTCAAACGCAGGTGGGTGAAGCGGCAGGGCAGGAATTGGCACTGCTTGCCTGGGCACATGGCCATACAGTAAAACGAAAAGAACCAACAGAAAGAGCCCTCCTCTTGCTTAGGTATTGTATGAGCTCCTTGACACAGTCTGAGGCCAGACAGAGGGTCACTGATCCCTCCTGTTTCTTAACTCGTGGCTCTGTAACAGGGAGGGTTTCTGGCACAGCCGACCCACTTTTTCTCTGTGCCGCCCTCACAGACAGGGAGACAGACAGACAGACTTCCCCCGCGGTACCTGCAGAAGGACCTTGTTCCCGTCGTGGTCCTCCGTCTGCCAACGCCCCTCACTGATGGGGCTGCAGGGGTTGGGCAAGAGGGGCACGAGCTCGCCGATGTCCTTGACTCGGAACTCCAGCACCGAGTTGTCGGTGGGGACGGGGTTCTGGTCACTGGGCAGCCTCTTGAGGGAGAACTGGATGTCCACATCCAGGCTGGAGAAAATGGGGAAGATGCAGAAGTCCGTCTTCCTTTGGCTGGGGCTCCGCCGGAGGATCAGCTCGTAGAACTTGAGGATATCGGCGTAGTTGTCATGGCGGCAGTAGATGGTGAAGCGCACGATCTCCCTGCCGTAGTGCACGGGCCGGATGGCCCACAGCGGAGTCCCGGGCGCCAGCATGAAGAAGTCCTGGCTGCAGGGCAGGTAGGGCAGGAGCCTGCCGGGCACGCGCTCTGTGTGGTGGTGGCGCCAGGGCGGCCGCTGCAGCGCGCGGTGCAGCTGCAGGATGGGCTCGTCGCCGTACCCCTCCTGCAGGAAGAGAACCACCGCCAGGGCGGGCTGCGCCGCCTTCGCCTTCGAGGCCTTCCTCCGCCGCCGGGAAGCCCTCCGTTCGGAGACCCGGAACAGCTGCAGGTCCGGGTGGATCCAAGCCAAGACCCGGTCGATGGCCTCCTGCAGGGGCTGGGATTCCCCTGGGTCTGCGATTATGTGGATGCTAACCAGGAAAGGATCCTGCGGCTCCTCCACGGAGAGCTCACCTGGGAGCACAAAAAGAAAAACAAAAGAAATCCCCAAATTGTGACTGTTTCCTGGTGTCCTGCGATGATGACATGCAAAGCTTTGGCAGGACGAGAGGCTAAATTGTAACTGAACCGACTCCACAATTGTTATGATTTTCTGATCCCAGATTCATGTGCAAAAGCCACTGTTGCAATACCCTAGCTGCCAAAAGCTGAAGAACTTCTTGTAGTGAATGGCTCCCCAGCTGGGCAGTGTTAGGAGAACTTAGGGGCTGTCCTTCCTCAGGTTGCATGCACTTTCTATTGGGCAGTAGAAAGTCAAGTCCCCATTGACCTGGAAGGGACAACAGGCCCAACAGCCTTAAGTGTGTACCACTTAGTATTTCCTGAAGTGATAGCAGCGCCTGACCCAACAGATGTTCCTTATACCGCTGTACTCCCTTCGTTTGCTTATTTCATTGGTTTATTTTGTTTGCTCATTTAACAAACATTTATGGATTCCTTTCTTCATGCCCTATGCTAGGTGCCACTTACTCTAACTGAGGCTTCCTGCCAACAGCGTCCTGATGGTGGGGGTGGCCTGGTCATGATCCCTTTGCTGCTGCAAACCCAGGGAAGAGCAATCCAGGGACAAGCACAGAGTCCTTCTGTCGGAGCTTACTGGGGCTGTGGTTAGGGGTGGGGGACTCGAGGTAGGACCATTACTGCCTGTATAATGCTTTCTTTTGGGCCTCTCCTCAGGCCATGTCCACCCAGAAGCCCATACATCCTAACTGGGTCAGTTACCCTCAAACATTGGGAAATTTCAAATTCTAAATGAGACGTTGACTGTTTAACGTGGCAACACTTTCCTGCAGGGTGAACAGTTTGTTGGCCACACTGGCATAATTATAACTCACAAATATTCAGCATATTTTATGAAATTACCCGATAAAAGTCTTGTTCTTTTAAAATATGGGCTCTATTTGCATTTATATAAGCTTTATGACTCATCCAAGGACAATCAAGAAATCTTTTTTTAAAAGAAATCTTTAGGTCTATTGTGACTTGGGCGGTCAGAGTCATGTAGAACCAGACCAGTTTTCACACACATGTCTCACAATGTCCCCTAGGGTGTTATGCATAGGGCATTTATGCAGTCAATAGCATTTAAGAAGTGTCAATAGCATTTAAGGAACCACAATCTTGATTAGTTCACAAGATGAAAGGTAATTTTTTGTTGTTGTAGGTAAACAAGACATTCCAAGTTAGCTTACAGATCATATGCACCTGTAATAACATGGTTTTAATTTTGTTGGATCAAAAGCTGTCTGAATTTTAATCCCAACTTTGACTATTAGATATCTCACTTGGGAATAGTTAGTTCAATTTGTTGTTACCTTCTTTCTCATTTACTCATTCATTCACATTTCTTGAGCAATTTATATGTACTAGCACTGGGGAGATACGGAAGCTGGTGCCACTGAGTACTATGGAAGTCCACTTACATAGACTCTGGTGTGAACAGCGCACCCTTAGAATTGTGCAGTGCATCGTCTGCACAGGCACAGGCAGTAGTCCTCTAAAAAACATGATTTAGATGGGAAGCACAGATGTAAAATATTAAAATCAATTTGATAGCTGCCTATCGAGTAGTATCTTAGGCAGGAGTTGTATTCTAAAGTCACCATGAAATAAAAATTATGCATAGACAATATTACCACTGAAAGCTCTTGGCTTTCCAATACAGTACTGACTTGCAACAATAAAGCCAGAGAGATGTTCCTTTGATTAAAAACTAGGTGAGGTAACAGCTTGCTTCATGGCTGTGTTTTAAAAGAATAGTCTTGTATCATTAAACACTAGTCATCCCATCCCCACTCCCCCTTCTTTCATAGGCTGTGCCTTTCACTCTACAAAAAGATTCTGAGAACTCAAGAGGCTTCTGGAACCAAAGATAACTAAGGTTAACAGCAGAGTCAAGTCTAAGTACTCCCATGATCATGGAGTAGAATGGTAGATGGAATTACCTGAACTTCCTGCCCTCCCCCCTCTGGCTGAGCATGTATCCTCACACATGCGTGAGTTAAATATGAGCACAATGCAATTCCAATTTACTATCATGTGTCAAAGGAAGGGGCAACTGTTTCTCCAGAGGGCTTCTGAGGCACCATGCAAGTGGATCTTAAAAGGTAAACATCTCACTTATGATAACCTCCAATGTGGGGAGATAGCTGTGGGAAGAGGAAAGACTATGAAGGCACAGAACTCTACAAAAAACAAGCATGCTTTGAAAAGGGTGGTAATTCTGAAACATAGCAACAGATGAAACAGGAATAAAATAGATTGGAGCCAAGTTGTATAGGGCTTCAGCTCAATTTGGTAGTGATAAGTGGCAATGGAAAAGCTTTAGTAAAGGGATGTTGGGATTAGGTCAGGATGAGGTAAATTACAGGCAAAGTAAGAAAAAAGAAGACAAGTGAAGAATCTAGACAAGAGATAACAAGGACTTGGCAGTGCATTACTGGCCCTAGTTCTTTATCCTGCCCTCTTTGCTCTCTGCCATGTGACTTTGTAGTTCCTCCCACTAAGAGGTGAAGTGTGATTGTCCACTCTTTGATTTTGGATTAGACCATACACCTAGGGTGGCCAACAGAATGAGTCAAGAGTGACATGTTTTGGCTTGCCTTCTTGTGCTTCTGACATTTCCATGAGAAAAACATACTCAAGCCAGCCCACTGGTGCCAGAAAGGAGGATAAGAGATTCGAGGAGCAAAGGCACCCCAGCTGAGTCCACCTACATCAGCCAACCTCAGACATCCAAAGACACCCAAAGACACACAGTATGAGCCACCCAGCTAAGCTTGGTCTATATGAGCTGACCCAAAACACATGGAAAATAATAAATGACTGCTATTTTAAGCCACTGTTTGGGAGTGATTGTTACACAGCAATATTATAAATGCAGGCAGAGTCACTGGATGTACGGAAGGGCATGGATTCAGAAGCTATTTAGGAGGCACATGTGCATGGGGGTGGGAAGCAGGAAAAGCAGAAGTGTATATACCTTGATACTTTCAGCTTGAGCAAGTGGTCTGATGTTGATGTTTAACTGAGCTAAGAAATATTTAGGTTTGTGGGGAAAGATAAGAAGTTCCAGTTTGCCCATGTTGGCTTGAGATGTCTGCATGACTTCTAGGAGAAATGTCTTGTTGGTAACTGGATCTGTGTTTTGCTGAATTTAAAGATGGGCCAGTTACCTTTAGGATATATTCCTATTTTTATGCAGTTATCTCATAAGTGTGTGCCCCATATTCATTTGTATAAGGAAAAATTCATCATGATGGCTTTAAAAACAATCCAAATTCATGAATTATTATGGTTCTTTTCGTTGCTTGCTCTTTCTGCTCACCTGGCTACTTTCTGTTTCATTGAACATTATTAGCATCACTATCAGCAGAACTGCCCTAGAAACAAAAGTAGTGAAATGCAAACCACTGAAATTTTCCATCAGGCAGTAACTCCAGTAATCATCTAAAATGCACATTTCATTTTTCCATGGTGCCTTGATCTCCAAACAGTGAAGACACTGACTATGCCAAACATTACTGAATGCTCAATATAGATGGAAAGGGGCAGAAACAATATAGATGGAAAAGGCCTAGAACAATTTGAGGATGAAATTCTTTTGAGAAAATTACAGATGATTTCTGTGAGGGAAGAAAAGCAGACATGTTGCAGAAATAATGTTTAGGAAAAGAAGCTGTCAGAGCAGTCAGGCAGTCCTGTTAAGATCCTGCCCCACACTCAGGGTGTGCATGTGGCCACATACCTGCGGTGACACGGTTAGCCAACACTTGTATGACATTCACTGTGAGTGGGCTGGCACGTTTTTAGTGTTCTACATGTATGAACTCATTTAATCTTCACAATAACACTAAAGGGGGGTGGTGAATCAATTATTCTCCCCATTTTAGAGAACAGGAAGTTGAGGCTCAAAGATGTACAGTAACCTTTCCTGGTCGCCCAGCGCCTGACTTTTTGGGCACAGTCACTCCACAGCTCTGCAGAGAGGTGTGCTCACGCTCTCTGCGGTACTCATTTCATGGCAGAACGAGCCCCTGTCACTCTCCCGCCATCTCTGGCCACACTGCTACTACTTCACCTCTCTCTACTGCTCTCCTACTTCCTTCTAACCGGTTGGCTTCTCGGCTGCCAGCCGATAACTTCATGCCTTGGACAGACATTTACATCTCTTTCTTCTGGCCCTGGGTTTCTGAGAAAGATTATCTAGAAACCACCTCCCCAATGGCACATGCCCAAGTGTTTAGATCTGAACATTGTCCTTGAGGGAAACTGAAACAGGCTAGCACTGCAGGGGGGTGTAACAGTGAAAGGAAAGCAGAAGAGTGCCACAGAGCAAGTCTGCAGACCAGTGTGAGCGGCCTCGGTCTGAAGAGACCTGGGGTAAGTAAGGGACCCTCTGAGTCTCCCAGAGTTGTCAGGGAGCTGAGTGTCGCACCGCCTCTATCAGCTGCACAAAGGTTTCCCAGAGAATGGTAACAAAGGCCACACTGAGCCTGCATGGATGAGTGAATGTTCACAGCTTTGCTAAAGGGCAAGATGCCCAGCCTCAGAGAAGGAGGTGGGGCTGAAAGGCACCGGGCCAACCACCAGCTCAAGCTCTAGCCTCGGCAGTTCCAGGTGCAGCCAACTGTCCCGACTCCAGAGCTCCTGCCTTTGCATGGTAAGAACCAGGGACATGTCAGTGGCTAAAACCCTGCCCTGAAGAGGAAGGAGAATGAGTAGTGGCATTAGTATGCCCTAGCCATCGCCAGCATGGGCCCAGTGCATGTGAGCCTAAAATAAACAGGCTCCATGAGCCACAGGATGCAGCGCCAAACTGTCACGGGTGCTAGGTTACACACGCCCCAGAGAAAATTGGCCTCCGTGGAGCTCAATAGGAAACTAAGTATTTGAGGAGAAGGAGAGAAAATGTGAATAATTAATTGTCATGCAAAGCCTCTCTGCCTCCTTGG